ATCTGTGAATGCCTGAAACAGGTCCTGGAGCAGCCACTGCTAGGTTGGGCTGGTTGAAGGAAGGGATCAGGGACATTTTCCAGGAGGGAGGCCTGAATTCATTCTAGCCATCGGAACCCTTCTGGGTCCAGACACAGCCTCTCAGCCCAGCCTTCTCCGCCAGCCTCGGATTCTCTGCTGTGGGGGCAGGCTGCCCTTCCTGCCACCATCCGGGCTCTTAGCCAGGCCATGCAGTTACCACTCATTGGGTACAACTCCTGAGGAGTCTCAAGACTTGTTTTCAAAGCAGGGGTGAGCTACCTGGCCTTTGAGGCACATGTTGGCTAAGGGGGCCAGTGCCCAGTCCTTTCCAATGAGTCTGGAATACTGACTCTCCCTTAGAGTGGGATGGGTTGCGGCTGAGAGCTGGTGTCAAAGGAATAGCTCCACTCCCCCACCCCTCGCATTAATAAGGCACCACTCCAACCCTGAATGCTCTAGGCCCTTGCGCTTCGGGCTTCAGTTCTGTAGTCCTTCACCTTTGGAGGTAGCAGACATACCCAGGAGTGGTTTGAGGTACTTTCCTGAATATACTCCTGAGAGTTGGTTATGACAATCAAGAGGTTGGTGGAGGGAGCACAGAGGCCCTCAGGGCACTGACATCCTCTCTCTCACCAGTTCTTACCTGCACACACCTCACACTCTCTCAGCTCTCTTACCTCTCCAGCCCCTCCTCTTTGCCTCCCTTGGCAGCACTCCTTTCTCTGTAGTCCTTAAGCCTGGGGATTGCTTCCAGGGGCTGAGTTCTCTTTACTTGTTCCACCGTAAGATATCATCCCGTCTCAGGGCTTCTATCCATCCACTGCTTACCATCCCAAGCCTTCCTGTGTGCCCAGAGCCCTCTCCTGTTCCAGAGCCCCTGGATGACCCGCCAGATCTCATGACCTTCCCCAGAGGGACTCTTCTTCCTTTGTTCTTATCTCTGCAAAGCACCATGGTCCACCTAGGCTCCCACTTAAGCCAGAGGCTGGGCCTCTCCAGGGCTCCCAAAACCGGTACCTGTTGGTCCCTGCCCATCTCTAAAGTCACCTTCTCAGCAAGGCATCCTCTGACCACCTTTTCTGAACATAACCAGCTACTCCTTATTACTCTCTGTCCCCATGTCCTGTGGACTCATCCCTTCATGTCACTCATCACCACCAGGCAGCATGCATGCCCATGTGTGTTCACATGCCTAAACCGACCTCACTGTGGGTCTCTAAGCTCTGTGGGGGCAAGGGCCATGGACGTTCTTGTCACCACTGTCCCTGGCTCATAGTGGGGAGTTCAAGAAAAATTTGTTGAGGGCTGGCTGAGTGGTGTGTTGGGTAGGAGTAGGCATGGGACGCCAGCTCTGAGCAGCAGGGCTCCGGTTTGGATCCCACATGAGGGCCAGTGACGCTGCGCCCTCTACAGCTAAGATGGTAAACAACAGCTTGTCTTGGAGCTGGGCTGCCCTTGAGTCACCTGCGATGGTGTAGGCTGCAGTGGGGCTGGCCAGCAGCGGGCATGAGCTTTCGTGAGCTGCTGTGAGCCACCATGAGCGGCCGTCCAATGGCCGGTGAGCAACTGCCTCACCTGGGAAGAGCACAATGATCACAGTACCAACATAGGGCAGTGAAACGATGTCCTCCACAACTAGACTGAAGAACAAAAGGACAGCAACTTGTCTGTTCCCCTTCCCCGATTCCCCAACACTGTTCCCCTCCCCCAATTCCCCAATAAAAGCTTTAAAAAAAAAAGAAAAATTTGTTGAATGAGCGAGTTGAATGAATAAATGCATGAACCCTTGACATCCCCTCTCCAACCCCCACCTTCCTTCAGCCTCTTAATCCTATTGATTCTACCTCCTTAATACATTTCAAATTCATTCCCTCCCCATTCCTCACCTTCCACTACCAGTACTTTATTGTTTATTAATTCATTTCCCAAACACCTACTGAGCACTCAGGGCTGGGCAGCATGCTGGCCCCTGGGGCAAAGAGCTGTCCCTGTGCATTGCTCAGGGCTCTGATGAGTCAGTGCTGATTGTGGTGGTGCATCAAGGCACTGTCCAAGGGACTCTTTCTCAGTCTGGAATTCTACTTTCAGAAAATTCCCACTTTTACTGGATGATTCCCTCACCCTTCATAGTCAATTAGTCACTCTGCCCTGTGTCTGGCCATGTATCTGCATTGTCACAACTGGTACCAGGGCCTGGGCCATCATCTTTTCTGGCCTCCCTGCTTCCTCCTTTGTACCCTACAGTTGTTCGCCATCTGACAGCTGAAGTGATCTTTTAAATCATAAATCGGTTCACGTTGGCTCCCAGTGTCCTCAGGATAAGTCCAGACTCTGTAGTGGGGCCTGCAAGAGCCAGGAGATCTGGCCTATGATGACCTCTGCTCCTCATTTCCTACCCATCCTGTCAGCCATTGCTGCTCTGGGTCCACCACCAACCTATCTGTGACTCCTTAGACATGGTCCCCGTTCTCTGGCCTCTGCCTCTTCTTCCAGCCTCCCTTCTGCCTGGGATCATCCTCCCTCTTATCCACTTGGAAAACAGCTCAAATGTCACCTCCTCCAAGAAACCTGTGTCTTCTGGCTTCCCACTCAATCTTTCTGAGTACACATTACTGTCTTATTGTCCTTGTCTGTAACCAAGCCTGGATCCCCATCCTGTGACCACTAGGGCCAGGCATGGATGGGGCTGCCGTGAGCAGATGAGACACGTGAGGCTTCACCTGGCCTTCTCCTCCTGCCCAGGGGCCTTGAGGAAGGGACAGCATCTAAGAGCCATACGGTGCTACAGGCCTCCCAGGCCTTTCCCCACCAACCAGTAAGCCAGGCAAGGAAGGACACAGTTGAAACCCATTTCACACAAGTGCCACCTGAGGCTCAGGAAGGCAGGGCCTTTCCTTGGTCTTGTGGATGGAATCTGAGCTCCCACTCAGCTCACTGAGCCCTAATCAGCTGGGCTCTGTCTGAGACAGGCATCATTCTGTGAGCACGTGCTCTGCCTGATGCTGGGCTGGGAGCTGGGGCAGAGCTCTAATCATCACCATTTCTGACCTCGAGCAGTTTACATTTCTGAAAGGATGGGCTCTGGCCTGAAAAAAATTCCTCTATTAGATGATAGAGGATGTTGAGAACCATAGTGAACTATGGGTCTTCACATATGGCACAGCTAGTTCTATTTTTGGAAGTAATGCAGTTCAAGTCCCAAACCCCAGAAAAACTGACATTTCCCTCACCCCCACCCCACAGGCCCTGTGGCTACAACTCTCTGGTATGCAGCTTCACCCTCCCAGCCTTCTGTGAGGGAACAGAATAAAGCCTGCCCCTTACTGTGCCTATGGCCACATGCCTCAGACAGAATGTACAGTATTCATTCATTGACCAGATATTCAGCAAGCATTCATGGAACTTGCTGTGAGCTCAGCCCTGGGGACAACGGAAATCTGGGGACAGAGGTGAAGCCACCCAGTCTCTGCCCATGGGGGCTCACTGTTAATCAGGGCAGGCACATTCCTGAGTCTTCACACCTCCTGTGTCGCCAGTGTGAGTGTGTGTGATTATGACAGTGTCTGTGTGTGCACATTTGTGTGTGTAGATGCTGGTTAGGAAGGGCTTTGCAGGGAAAGGGCCCTTAGCATGGCAAGTTGTTGGGACTCCCTGGGCAGGCAGAGTAGTTTTTTCAGGATGTCAAGTGCAAACTCCCCTTTTACCCTCAAGTTCCACCTCAAGAAATTTGTCCCAAAGAAAGAGTTG